TTGCTTTGCATCCCTCCCCCCCCAGCCTGCTCTGCCTCGGAAGCTGGGTGTTCTGTGGAGTCACAGCTGCCCCAAGGCCACCAGGCAGTGTCCCACCTCAGCAGGAGCATTCCCACAGGCTCCTTAGATGGCCACACTCCTTTGCAGCACCTGTCTCACCTTCGCCTTACCATGGGGCGTGCAGCTATCAGAGAGCAAGGGCAGAAACTTGGCAACCAGGCCAGTTGTCTTTACCCATCCTTATTCTACAGATAAGGGCTCAAAGACGTTGTCCCTTGGTGGTTGATCCCAGCTGTGGTTGGGCTGGGATGTGCTGCTGGGAGCCCATCCCCAGAGCCCCTCCTCAGGTGGCTTTGGGGAAGAAAAGAGCTTTCAGTGCAGGATTTGTCTCCTAGTTGATGGGAAAGGAGGCCATCCCTTGGCTTGGCAGGGCACCCAGCCTGCTCAGCTCTGCACCTTATCACCCTCCCTCCCTTCCTCTGCCCATCCCAGCTTTTCCCGCAGATGCAGGATGAGCAAAAGGCCACTCTCCTGCACCCAGCCCTGCCCCCCAGCACCCCCTCTCCCTGTGCTGCCGGGCCCCTCGGGCTTCCCTCCGACTTTTACCACTTTTAGGCACTTTTTCCCCCCCTGCCTGGGTTTGCAGAGCGGGGCTGCAGCCCCGGGCAGGCGCTCCCTGCTCCCTCGGCCTGGGTGCTGGGTACCAGGAAAGCAATAATCATAGTAATAATAATAATAATAATAATAATAATTCCCGGGCTGCCCAGCAGGAGCAGCTTTGGGGGAAGAGAAATCTTGCTAACGTGATCCTTTTATGTTTGAGCCTTGAAATCCTCCTCCCCTGGCACAGGGGGGTGCGGGGGGGGCAGTTGATTATTTTGGGTCAATTCCTGTGTCGGGGGAGAGGAAAAAAAAAAACCAACCACAAACCCGAGCTCTTTTTTCCTTTGCCGTTCCTACCGGTGATGGTTTTATACGGTGCGTTTTAAAGCTGGCGGGTTGCTCGTTGAATAAAAGGGGTGTTTGGGTGGCACCTGGGGGCGGGACGGGGCGGGTCGGTCCCGGTCGGTCCCTCCCGCCCCTCTCGGGGGCGGCTCCGGGTCCGGCCCCGGGTCCCG